ACGTTGCTGGTTCAATAGTTTGTGTGGTATTTTGTTTTTTCTTTGGTTGTTGAATAGTTTTTGGCGACGCTGAGCGATCGCGGTTGTTTTTATTGTTTCTGCTATTTTTTGGCATTTCAGTGAAGTAGCAGAAAAATATCTATTATATAACTGATATATTAAAATTTATCGTTTAAAAAATAAAAAATAAATTTTTTTTTTTTTTGGTAGTTTTGCATAATCTTTATTAAATTCAAAGTACACATAACAAAGTTAAAATATATAAATTTAAGAAAATACAAAAATCTTTATTTAAGCTAAACTAAATTAAGACTGACCCTGCACTTCCCTAGAATTTATTTCTAACCTAAGCTAAAAATATCATATTCTAGTAATTAACTGAATGAGAAAGGGCTTGGCCACTACAGCACCAAAAATTCAACCAGTGGGTTCCATATTGAACTATGTCTTTAATAGAGTTGTTAATGTTTGCAAGGGGAGTGAAACTTGTGATATGATATCCTGTTGCAATAGTGTGGTCTTTCTTTGATTGTAAGTTGATGTTGTGTGATTTCTCGAATGTAACTTATTGTAAGCACTGGTCAATCTATATTATCTGTGTCTATTCAAAAATGTAATGCATAAAGGTAGAGAGCGTCGCATGAGTGAAATTCTTTGATCCCATAGCATTGTAAACAAATATGTATAGTGTTTGAGGAATCATTCCTTTTATGAGAGCTTGTAGGTAGGGAAAAAATTCAGTAGACATATGCCATATGTGTAAGTCAGAGATGTTCATAGTTGAGCCATTATCTTGGATCAAATTTTGTAAGACTTGTTGTGAGTCTCGTATAATATTCTTCATTCGAGTCTAAGTAATCGGATATTCCTAAACATGGGAGAAGTAACACAAAATCATGATTGATCAAAGAGGTCAGGGTGTCTTTCTTTTAAAATTTCTATAGTATGAAGCATTTCTAGGAGTCTTTAGATTTTTTTCTTTTTGACTGCTGAGGCTTCGTACAAGGTATGTACTGCAGCAACATTGTCATTAATGTAGAAACTCGTAGCAGTCCAGTTAATATTCAAATACTGGTATTTATTTATCACATGGAGGTGTTGTATTTTATCGTACAATATAGATTGTGTAATGTTCTTCATGAAGAGACATATGGGAATCAAAATCTCCAGATTGTCATATTTGTAATAATAGTGATTGTTGTAAGAGAGATCAAATCTGAACGCAACTTTCCCGTAAGCGTTCTTCTCCAATTGGTCAACTTTGTCTGTAATTTGATAACTTCAAATAGATTCAGCCAAATCGAAAAATTATTAATCTTGAATAGAGGTCTAGTAAACGGAGAAAAACACAAAATTCTTCTGAAATTATGGAATTGTTTAATCACAACTTGTGAATCTGTCATGATCGTAACGTGACAATTCTATGAGGTAATGAGGATAGCAGTAAATATTGCTGCTAGCTCTACAATTGAAGATGAGGGGAATGTGGTAACTAATGCAGATAAAAAGGAGACCATAGGTGAATATGGGTTCGTTTACAGCCAAGCTATACTCATTCTCATAGAAGGAATGCCCAAGCCTATGAGGAAATCATCTGTATGGAATTCTAATGTGTGGCAGCAGAAAACTGTTGCAAAAGAGTTAGTAGTTCTTGACTGTGCGGTAACATAATAAATTTTGAAATTGGGGTAAGGGTGTAGGGTGGCAAAAATCTATCAAGGGTAAATGGGAGGTACGATTATAAAAACGGTTAAAAAAATAGAATGCAATGTTATTCATAAGAATCGAATACCAGGCGCTGACATGTTGCGTTCAAATATCTTTAAGTATTATTTTTACACAGAGGTCTAGGGAAGTGATCACTATGCAATTGAATTTTTTTAGTTCAGGAGAATTACTCTTTAATAATGTGGGTCGGTTTAGTGAACATCTGTCACATTGGTGCAAAATTGTCTCAGTAGAGAGGGTATACGCATAATGAATGATATTAGCAAAACTGCCAGCTATCTTTAGAACACGACCTATTATCATTGTATTAGTGTTGCAGTTCTAATATAAAATAAACGAACGGACTGTTATTTCATCGTGTAGTGGTAGCATCTGAAATCCCTGTAATGCATTCTGTCTGTATATTGTATTTGCAGGTAAAGAGTTAAATGCGTCAACATTAAATGCGTCTTTTATTTTGAGATACCATTTCGGAGATGATCCTTTCCTGGAAATAGATGACAAATATCTCAGATCTTTGGCAGTGTACAGTGACTTTCCATCTCGACTGATTAATTATTTCACAACATTAAGAAATATTTTGCTAAGGAGGGGGTTGATTTCCTGTAGTCATGTGGGATAATTGATTGAATAGTAATAGATCTACCATGAATTCTATGTGTAAATTGCTCTGGTAAAGATAGGCTGATATTAAAATGTTTGAGGTTACATAATATTGCTGGGATTCAACTGTTGAAAACTTTGAGTTTTTATAGGGCTAATCAACTATCAGTGAGGCTGGTAATCATTCTTTAAATTGCAGTTGTAATAGCCGTATGTCTGTAGAAAGACCTAGGAGACCAGTATCATTGAGAGACGTCAGTAAGGCATCACTGAGAGCTTGGATGTGCTTGTGGTAAAAATTAGTTACTCTATATAGAGATTTTGAATAGAGGAGACAAGAGGGCGTATCTCGTGATAAATGAAGTTTTTCTTAAGCAAAGCTCTGAATGGTCGTATAATCTGATCAGCTAGGGTTTCAGATAAATGAGTTAGTTGGATGCGATACTCAATACGAGGTATAATAATAATATTAAACGTATATATGACCATCAGTCTTTTGTTAAACAGAGTAGCCACAGTGGATTTGACATCCTGAACAGCTTGTTTGACGATAAACGTCTTGTTACATTTGAGCGAGATCTAAACCCCTAAATATTGGATAGAATCTTGAGAATCAGTGGAAGTAATTGTTTGTATAGAGCTATTGACACATGTTTCAATGGTTTAGATATTGTTTGTATTAGTCAACAAGTTTAGTTTTGACTAGTTCACTTTAATACTGTTTAAATCGTAAAAACTGTTAGCAATATCTATGGTTCTGTTAAGTTGTTGTTTAGAATCAGCGATCCACAGTGTGTTATCCATATACACTAATACTAAAGTTTTGCACGAGTGTTCTTTAAATGAGTTGAGGCAGATATTAGATTTCCATTTGGCTAACATAGTATAGCCTAGGTCAGAGTTTTGTACCTTACATAAAAGGTGATCATAATAGATACACCACAAAAGTGATGAGATAATTTCTCCTTGATCAATACCTGAGAAAACCTTGTAAGTATCTGTAAGCCCAAACTAGGTAAAAACCTGGTTTTTCCTATACACAAATATATTCAGGATAAAGAAGATAAATTCTTTAAGAAGTTTTAAACGTTCAAGTGCTCTGACCATTATAAAAACATTTATACAGTCATAAGCTTTTGACATATCTTGTAGAAGAACCCACAATTCTTTTTTTTGAGAGGGTGTCATTTTTTATATTGTCTAGAATGTGCAAGGGTTTAAAGGTAAAACGAAAGGAATTTTCTGCGAAATTATGTTCTTTAAGGATGTTGTGTTAGATGAATATGGTTGAGAGCCGTATATTAATGAGTTTTATAAGGGCTTTTCTTAGGCATTTTAACAAAGTAATTGGTCTTTTGTTATTTAAATTAAATTCTCAAGGTTTGGGTTTTAGAATCGGATAAATATATGCCAAATTCCATCAATGTGGAAGTATTAAGATTGATTAATAGCCACATATTAGGTACCAAAAAATTTTTTTAGCTAAGGATCAAGGTGTTTAAGCATTTCATTTGAGATCTTGGAGGAGCTAGGTGCTTTGCCATCTGCGAGAAAATTAATGATAGAATACCATTCTTCTGCTGAGGGTAGTACTATATATGCTAGGATTCACATTTTCTAGTAGGCTAAAAAATAAAAAATAAAAAATAAATTTTTTTTTTTTAAGTGCGGTAGTTTCGCATGATCTTTATTAAATTCAAAATACACATAATAAGTTAAAATATACAAATTTAAGAAAATACAAAAATCTCTATTTAATCTAGACTAAATTAAGACCGACCTTGCACTTTCCCAGAATCTATTCCTAACCTAAGCTAAAAATATTATATTCCAGTAACTAACTAAATGAGAAAGGGCTTGGCCACTATGGCACCAAAAATTCAACCAGTGAGATCTATATCGAACCATATCTCTAATGGAGTTGTTAATATTTACAAGGGATGCAAAACTTGTGATATTATATCCTATTGCAACAGTGTGATCTTTCTTTGATTTTAAGTTGATGTTATGTGATTTCTCAAATGTAACTTGTTGTGAACACTGGTCAGTCTATATTGCCTGTGTTTGTTCGAAGATGTAATGCATAAAGGCAAAAAGCATCACATACAGTAGCGGTCATAAGTATCCGACCGCCTCTAACTCCGGCTACAAGTAAGTAAATTCAAAAATTTTTTTTTTAT